TACTTTTTTATCACCTTTAGACAAAAAATATTGATGTCTGATTTTTTTTTGGGGAATTGACAAAAAAAAAAAAAGTATCCTAGCCATATTCTACATTTCCGCAGATGTGACATCAAAGATTGATTAATTTCATTATCATTTAATGTCTCTTAAAAAGTGTACACAACATAAATTCACCAATACTTTACAACTTACAAGTCAGACAGATCTCTTTTTTCTGCATGAGAAAAAAAATGACAATATTTAGGAGAAAATAAAATCCGATTCCATTGGCGGCATTTTTCCTCTCGTTTGTCTGCATATATGTGCAGAAAGGGCTGCAAAAAAATATATAGAGTCAGACAGTACATAAAAAAAAATTCATATTGTAAAGAAAATTTATGATTATTATTGTTTCATTTCCCCCTTGTTCATGTTAAATAACTCGTTAGGTGAATTTGAGAATTCCGGATGAGGGATGATGATTGTCAACTTTAGAACTTTAGAGCTGGAATGAGGATTTCCACTATAGTTTTAGCTAGAAAACATGATGCTTATGAATAAAAAATATTGTTTTACATGAGAATTTATGGTGATGATAACGCGAACGTTATGGAACTATGACGACAGACTTGACAGTCATCCATTTGAGCTTTGCTAGTTCTGGAATTTAAGCATGCAAGTTTGTTTTGAGAAAGACAACAAAATGATTTTCACAAATTTAAAGTTTGACCATTTTGTCGATTCCAAGAGTCTTATCATAGTTTACAAATGCAACAGTCTTCTCAGTTGTCTCAAACCAGCTTTTAAAGCTATTGATGAAACTATGGTCTCGTATGTTGATTTTTGTTTGACCAACCAAAAGTCAAACGCTGGTTTGGAGTCACAGAACAAAGGCCAAATCATTAAATAAATGACATGTCTCTATCAACAAGCTAATATCCTAAGAAATTTCAAAGTATATTGACAATTATTTTTATCAGAAATCGTAATTCAAATTAAAAAATATTAAGAATCAAATCAAAACACTTTCATGCTTCAATCATTAATTGGATGAGGCAATAAAACTCATCCTGTCACAACTGATATTCATAAACCTTACTGAATAATGCAAGTGCTTTAAAACTGTAGCCGTTCCCTAATTGCTATTATGATTGTAGAGTTAAATTAAATTACAATTAAATTTGCACTACAAAAGTTATACAGAAGTGCTTTCATAATTAAATTAATAAAATTCTGAAGTGACACTCTAGACGAGAATAAGATTATTACTATTATTATTATGATTATTTGTGTGCGGTTGAGTTCGATGAACTGTGTTTCGAGATTATTTCATGATGAATACAAAAGGGGATTAAATTTATTAATTAACAATTACTTGCTCTGATGAAATACATCAAAAATTATTATATTGCATTGTTATTCTCTAATTTATTTCCGACTGAAAGAAGTCATTCATACATTTAATAAATTATCCCTAGACAACGGAATCATATACACGTACACAACGAAAAAAAAAAAAAAACTCAAATAAATTTTCTTCTTTTGGAGCTATAAGATTTTCCATGTTGAGGGGGTGCTGTAAAATTTCATACAATTTTTTTTTTGTAAGTCTGTCTTTTGCCGAGCTGCTATTCTGTTCAATTTATAGTGAAAAACAACAAAAGCAGTAGAAATTGAAAATGCTGGCAGACGATAAGTAAAGAAAGATTTTCACCATATATAAGAAGCAAGAAAAAAAAAAGGCGAATGAACTTTCCATTATAGAAGAAATTGATCTGCAGGTGAATTACTCGTTCCATTATATAAATTTTTCTTCTTACTATTATCGATAAAATTTCTTCTCTCTTCCTTAACTATATCGTAACCGCGAGCAACATCCTAAATTTTCCGTCTGTAAAAATGGCAACAGCAAAAAAAAATCGTTACAGACGTCTTGAGAACGAAAGTCGATGGGAGGGCGAGATACGCTTTTCTTAGGCGTATTTCTCTTTTCATTCTTAAGAGTCTTCCATCATAAGAAGGATGATGACGAGGTGGTAATGTGTAGGCATTGAAGAGAGAATTTTTATTTTGGATTTTGGTTGAGTTTATTGCCTGTCTCGTCTGTTCGTGTTGTTTGCATCCGTTTTTATTTTCAATGAATTGAAAGAAGAAAATTTCTTAGGTTTTTATATTTGTAAGAATAAGAAAAAGCTGCTGGGATTTGATGACTACATGAAATTCTTATTTTGGAGGCGCATTAATAACGCATCTTGTCTTGAAACCCGTTAATTCGTTAAGTTTAATAGGAAATGTGCTATTCAATTGGTTCTGCATAACAGATTATGAGCACTTATAACAGACATAAACCTGAGGATGTATGATAAGCATGTCACTCAGTTTGTTGGAGCTAAAGCTTATAGTAGGATCTGAACTACTCCATTTTCTTCTTATAATAGATGACTGTGAGCTACGTTTCCAGTACATATGACATGGGTGAAATTCAGCCAATCAGCTCACAAAATCACACTCTTGCTGAACTTGTAGAAACTCATTGAATCTTAACAGACCTCAAAATGCAAGAAACAAAATTTAGCCTTCCTAAAATGTCTGGAAACACTCGTGAGAGCAAAAAAAAGTTTTTCTTTTTATTTTAAAAGAGTTTCTCCTTACTTTTCCCATAAAAATAGTAAGAAATGTCTACGACAAGACTGTTTTTATGGGCTGAATTTTTTTCTCTTTTTCACATCGTAAGGAGATGATGGTGTAAGCACTTCTACATTGTATAATAAGAAAAAAAGTCTAACAACGACTGCATGATGAGTTTATTGAACTTAAAAAGTTCTTTTTCGTAAGGATATTTCTTTCTTCTTAGCTGCTGTGATGGTGATGTTTCATGAGATGGAGGGCGCGTCTGAGTCGCTATTTTATATTTTATACATTATATTTTATGAGTGTCTGTCTGATGATTTCTGTTTTGGTACATTGAACAATCAAATATCCTTTTAAAATCATAATAAGCAAGAGATATCTTTTTTGTGTGATTCTGTCTACAGCTTTTTTCGTAGAACACAAAATTCTGTTGAATAAGATGATTCATTAAAATTATGGGCTCTTTTTCTTTATGGGATGGATGATAATGTCTGCTGTGGCTCGTGGATATTTTCCAAAATTTACTTATAGGTCATTACTCCTGCTGATTGCTTAATGTCTGCTTATTTATATCGATTTTGTTTATTTCAAAGGAATTGAATTTAATTTAAACATTTGGCAATTAATAAACCGCAAAATCCAACTCATTTATTCAAAAAATCTGAATAATTTTTATCCAATCTTAATTTTGGATAATACTTATACACAATTAAATGTTCCGACAGCGACCGTTTCAAACAAATGCTTTATTTTGATGATTATGAGAAGACAAGGTAATTAGAAAGTTAATTACAGTTGAAAAAAAACTTCTTTCTTCTACCAATCCGCCGTAACATATTGTTTTGTCGGCGTCTGTTGTTCAATGAGCTATTTAATTCTTCTTCTTCTTTCTTTAATCGAAAAAAATTAGATTTTGCACAAACTGAAACTTTTTTTTTTCGCGAGTAAGTTACAGACAAAGAGTAGTACATGGAAAAAAATATTTTCTAAGCCTTATTGGAATCAATGAAATCGTATTGAATTACTTACAATGTATTTTCTAAATACCTAAGGACTATGGATAGCACGCTGTCCGTTAAACTATAAATATTTTGAATTTTCCCTTATTTTTTTCGATGTTGTTTACAAAAGTTCAAAAATGAATGTTTTCATAAATTCTCAAAATTTCCTATTTAAAGTCATTTTTGGTTCTGTTTAAGCATGTTGCTGTAATTATTCAGTGATAATAAACGATTTGCAACTGTCATAGCTTAAATTATGCTTCAAATAGATGAACAAATTGCAATTAAAAAATTTACTCATAAATTGTAAACAAACTTGTTTGTTTACAAAAATGGGAAGATAAAATTTGAATCAATCAAAAAAACCTTTTTACAGAATTATGAAACTAAAACCACTTAAATATAATATATTTATGTAGTTTTTAATCTTTACAAATGCATTTAAAATTGTAAAACAATAAAATTAAAAAAATTACAACGTAAATAAAAATTTCAAAGTTTTTCTGCGAAAACTTTCTTACAAAAAAAGTTGATATGAAGAAATTCGAGTTGGAATTTTCATCTACTATCCATAGTCCTTGGCTAAATACTAAGCTTTTTCACATGAATTGGTTTTATGGAATGGTTAATGAATTATTTTCTTAACTTCTTTAATAACGCCATGTCAAGTGTCTTGATATACGTCAAGAAAATTGTAATCGGATTTTTTTTCGTACGTAATGTTTTTCTTATGACTGGGTCTTCAGCAAATAATGATTATGAATAATACTGAATAAATCATAAAGAAATTACGAATAAAAAATCCCGGTGCTGATCTAGTCAAGAAGGTTATCGAATATGGGAAAATTGAAAATAGTGGGAATTTTTGTTACAATTCGGAGATTTTGGTCATTCTAAAAAGCTTCTTATTCCTTAGTTTGGCGTCAATCCTTTAATAAAAAACCCTTTGTCACTGTAAATACCCAAATATTAAATTATTGCACCATTAATGTACCTTAGCTCATTTTCTCAGTCTCATTTTCCCAATTAAATTTATAGTTTCCTTATAATTCAACTTTTCAATAATCCAGCAATAATAATGATTGCAACAAAATAATGCAATTTATCCTAAACCTTTCAAGTTGATTACGACAGGTGTTTTAACGATAATAAATCTCAATTGAATAAATAAATATCATCATAAATTCAACAAGATAAACCGGATTTGCATTATTATTGTCGATAATAAGAATTATTTTTCTGATAATTGCATTTAATGCTCGAATAATACTCAACAACCCCCGCTGTTATTGCTTCACAAGCTTTTTTCATGATAAATACTTAACAATTTTTCAACTTCCAACATGAAACTAATTTTCTTGGATACTTTTTTTATTCTTTTTACAGGAAAAAAATTCATTTCTTAATTACAACGTGAGTTGTATTCTGACACTTCCACCGTATCAACGCAAAGGCTATGGACGGCTTCTGATAGACTTCAGTGAGTATAAATTTAATTAATAAATATTTTAATTCCTTCTTCGTATTTTCCTGATGTGAATATTTCATTTAACTCTTTCATCTGATTTTTATATTTTAATTTATATTATATAAATTTAAAAAGAAAAAGAAATTGGCATTCCATAGTATATTGCATGACTCTTTGCGATTCATTCCTTTCTTCTTTCATCTTTATTCAGCCTTATTTTTATATGAATATAAAGAGTGAAGCTGAGTTGGGAAGTCTTTGATTAACCACTGGTGAAATGATGAACGAATTCTTTAGCTGATTTATGTAATAAATTTTTAAATTAGTTGTCTACTAAATTCTTCTTGTCTAAAGTTAATGATTAATAAAATAAATTACTCAATGGTTGGATGAATCGGTGAAGGTATGAGCATAAGTTATTGCAAATTATTCAAGAATGTTTAAATAGACTTCTTGGTGGATATTTTTATAATTTATTAGGTATCAGGTCGATAAACACGAGATTAATCCAGTCATACTTATTCATCTATACCTTCTCGTTGAAGTCTTTCTGTTTAAACCTGTATCTCGTCATCTTCTAGTTATTTTCTCATACATTCTTAGGGAAATGAAATTCTTTTCTGATACATTCTTAGGGATTTTAAAAAAAACTTTTATGAAAAGACTATGATCCCTGTTTTGGGTATATCCTACAAAATTGGCAAATTTTAAAAACTAAACAAATTTAACCAAATTTGAACAAATTTAAATATTTTTAAATGCACAAGAACAATAACAAAACAAAACGTTTCTAAAGCTTCCTTCACAATAAACCAATCAAAATCATGACAAATATAAAAGAAATTTCGCATTCGATAGGTCAAGATAAAATTCATGTCAAACTTGTCAAATATTTCAAGCTCTTCAATTAATAAAATTTTAAAAAATTGCAAGTATGCCATATTTGACATTCTTCTTTGTTTGAATGGTGTAGCCTAAATATTCAGAAATATTTAATAAGCAATTAAATTCGTTGAACTTACATCACAAAGAAACGCTTATGAAAAATTAAAAATTATATTCAATAATATGAAACCATTTTGGCGAGACCGAAAATGAAGTGCATGCAATATTTCTCAAATGAAAAGAATTCAAGTAAATTATAAATATTTACATAAAGTGTCAAATTATATTGCGATTATTCTCCATGTGTGTGAAAAAAATGCTTTCTTGCAAACGACACTACATTCCATAAATAGTTTAATTCTTTCTTTTTTTTGCGCTTGAAAGTAATAATAATATGAAAGAGAAAGATTTACTGATCGCTGACCTAAATACCACAAATGTTTTAAACGTGCCAGTAGCAGTGAAAGAGTAAAAGAAATGAGAGAAGAGATGATGAAGCAGAGAAAATTTACATTCCAATCATTGCTAATTACAACATTCCATCATTGACTTTATGTTTTCATTTTTTCTCGGAATTTGCTGTAATTCGTGTTTTTGATTACTAGATTAGCTTAATCATCGTCATTGACCTATTTTGTCATGTTATTGCTGAATATTTTATTTAACACTTTGCTGCCATTAACAACAAGAATACAAGATGAGCCAGACATTCCCACTCGTAAATGTCGGTGCATCTTATAAATCAAATATGCTAATGCCATTCGATGGGATTAAGCTCTAACAAGAGATTCCGAATTGATTTATCGATTTTAAATCATTTAGATTTATCGAAAAATTTGCTTTACGTTTTTGGGGGTTATCAAGGTGTAGGAACTTTGGGAAATGACTCTTATTCACAGGAATTATCTATGGTATTCTGGATTTTGTGACAGAGACCTTACGGCTACGAGTGTAGTCTCCTTAGCAGCTTTAAAACCCTTCTCTGATTTTCATCAATCATTTCCGAAACATTTTTTAAATTTAAATACTTCGACAATCTGTATTAATAGCAAAGAATCTATCATCCAAGTTTCAATACTTAATGTTTATTATAAAGAAGATCGATATTATAAACTTTGAAAAAAAAAATTCATTTGACCATGAACCACATTCATCAGCATTTATATATCGTTTATAAAAAAAGAAAATATTAAAAAATGATATCACCGATATATTTCAAAAATTTCAAATATTCGTCGACAAATTAATGGTCATGACCAATATATCTACATAAATACTACAACATCATTTGAGTCAGCACTATGGGGCAAAATGAAAAAAAAAGGGACTTTCACTTTGAAAAATGGACTTTTCCGATTTACACTTTTTGGGTGATTTTTTCTTGTAGAGGACATAAAAGTAGATAGAAATGCCAAATTTCAGGTCATTTGGTGCTGATTTCGCGATTCTAGAGCTGTTTGAAGTTGAAAACTAGTGAAAATTCTGGTTTTTTCATACCATGTTTGAACCGGGAAATATCTTAACTGGTTTAAGATATTGCAAAACGGTTTTCAGTTCCTATTAGTAGTATATAAGAGCTTTATTTTGACATATAACAAAGTTTAGGTTCTGAATGTTTTCGTGCCATTATGGTAGAACATATGTGAAAATTTCAGGAAAATTATCTTCAAACAAGCCGCAACTATCATAAATGAAGAGTTTCCAGGCAAGTAAAAACGCAGTTTTGTAGCCCCATATATCTAGTTTTCAAAACTGTATAAACTTTGAAAAAGTAAGCTAACGTAATTGAGTTATGTTGATTTTAGTAGGTCGTTGAGTATTTGGCCAAAAACTAATAATTCTTTTAAAAATACGAAAACATAGTTTTAAAAATAGTTTTTTGGTGTTTTCTTATGAAAAATAACAATTTAAATGATTTTGTGAAGAAAATTTTTCAAAAACTTCAAAATCTTTCGAGATATAGGGGGTATGTGCTCTCCATCGATTTGGCCATTTGTCACCCTACTTAAACCACTATAACTTTTTTTTGAAAAAATATTTTTTAATTCTGTTTTCGGATTATTGTAGCCTAATGTAATACCTATCCAACGATATATAATACTTGCTAGTTAACTTAGTCCTGGTTATTTATAGGGCTGTTGATTGTGACATACGCAGTTTTTGAAATATTCCCAAAAATTGCATTTTCAAAAATACCACTTTTAAGCAATCTCGAGTATTTTTTTAGAACTTTTTTATGTTTATTTATGACATTTATGAGATTATAAAGCCAAAAAATTAAATTTAGAAACTTTTTACTTCCCTAGTTAACAACTTTGTAAAGTACCCTTGGTAGTCACTATCAGGTGTGAAAATCTCAGTTTTGAAACTATTTTATATATATACTCGTGAAATTCTCTCTACACATCATATCAGTTTTGAACTTCATTGAACAAGTCACTTTCAAAAATGAACCAAAATTCAACACTTACGAAGAAAACACTCTGTGAAATTCTTCGCGACAAAACGTTAAATCTTGCAACACAGCACACGTACTGTTTGGCAGTAATAGAAGAAATTCATGGGAGAGAATTAGCGGAATCACAGAAACCAAGTTTAATTAATAAATTAAACAAGCTGAAGTCAAAGTCAAAAATGTTTTGTAATCAGTCAAATTGGAATAATGCATTAAGAGATCATGCAGATTTCTATGAAGAGGAATTTGAAGTTGACTCACGATACTTCAGCGAATCTAGTGGAGGGATTCTTTTTGAGGAAGAATCTATATATGAAGCAGAAAATGTTACTGACACAGATGAAGATATGGATGAGATTGAATACATCGTCCATGACATAGAGCCTTCATCCAGCAAGGGCATCAAGAGGAAATCATTTGAACAACTAACAAGCGATAAGCATCGACGTAGCAACAAACAGAAAATGAGGAAGAAATTGAATTGATTGAGCCAGAAGGAGAAGGTTATGACTTTTCCCAAGCAGAAAACTATGATTATTCCGAAGGACAAGACCATGAATATTCTGAAGAAGCAAACAACGAATGAATAAATAAATTTCATTAAATATGATAAAAAAATGTAAATTAAATTTCTTGACAAATAAACAAAATTTCATTAAACTAAAAATTAAACTTTATTAATTTTACCTATTATAGTTGCGTATCAGAGTATTTTTTTTATTACTCTAATGATAATAGCTTTTTTCAGACTTAACATTTCTTAAAAAAGTCCAAAAAATACTCGAGATTGCTTAAAAGTGGTATTTTTGAAAATGCAATTTTTGGGAATATTTCAAAAACTGCGTATGTCACAATCAACAGCCCTATAAATAACCAGGACTAAGTTAACTAGCAAGTATTATATATCGTTGGATAGGTATTACATTAGGCTACAATAATCCGAAAACAGAATTAAAAAATATTTTTTCAAAAAAAAGTTATAGTGGTTTAAGTAGGGTGACAAATGGCCAAATCGATGGAGAGCACATACCCCCTATATCTCGAAAGATTTTGAAGTTTTTGAAAAATTTTCTTCACAAAATCATTTAAATTGTTATTTTTCATAAGAAAACACCAAAAAACTATTTTTAAAACTATGTTTTCGTATTTTTAAAAGAATTATTAGTTTTTGGCCAAATACTCAACGACCTACTAAAATCAACATAACTCAATTACGTTAGCTTACTTTTTCAAAGTTTATACAGTTTTGAAAACTAGATATATGGGGCTACAAAACTGCGTTTTTACTTGCCTGGAAACTCTTCATTTATGATAGTTGCGGCTTGTTTGAAGATAATTTTCCTGAAATTTTCACATATGTTCTACCATAATGGCACGAAAACATTCAGAACCTAAACTTTGTTATATGTCAAAATAAAGCTCTTATATACTACTAATAGGAACTGAAAACCGTTTTGCAATATCTTAAACCAGTTAAGATATTTCCCGGTTCAAACATGGTATGAAAAAACCAGAATTTTCACTAGTTTTCAACTTCAAACAGCTCTAGAATCGCGAAATCAGCACCAAATGACCTGAAATTTGGCATTTCTATCTACTTTTATGTCCTCTACAAGAAAAAATCACCCAAAAAGTGTAAATCGGAAAAGTCCATTTTTCAAAGTGAAAGTCC